TTAAGGAAATTTATAATCTAGTAACAAATGTATATATAAAAGTGGTGTGAGAAATAAGGTCCAAAAACCTGCTCTAAAGCCATAAGTTCATTTCCTAGTGAAGGCTGAAGTTGGACCCGTTTAACTTAAGTGTTGGCAAGTGCCAGAGCATGCTAAAAAATAAAAACTGGAAAGGCATGTCTACCCAACGAGAGAGGTCCTAACTCCTCTGTGGCTTTAAATATGCAAAAGGAAAGTTTTTTTTTTATGTTGACCTATTTTAATAAATGGGTTGGGGCTGGGAAGGTGGCTCAGTGGTACAGTGCTTGCCTTGCATGCATGAGGCCCTGGGTTTGATTCCTCAGCACCACATAAGCAAAAAGAAAGCTGGAAGTGGCGCTGTGGCTCAAGTGGTAGAGCTCAGGGACAGCACCCAGGCCCAAAGTTCAGGCCCAGTGACAGACAGACGAGAGAGAGAGAGAGAGAGAGAGAGAGAGAGAGAGAGAGAGAGAGAGAGAGACAGAAATGGGTTAACAGGAAGGATGGGTAAGTTCTAGAAAGCAAAGCTTTAAGAGGATGAAACACAATTTCATAATTTCAGGGAAGGCCCTGGCTGGGTATATATGCATACATCTCAGGGCCACCCTGTCAGAAAGAAGGCAGTCCTGGCAATGCAAAACACGGTCTCTTTTGTGAGACTACCTTCATAATAGCAACAACAATACCTATTGAGCTGTGGCTACTGAGAGCAGCCAATTAATGTTGCCCCCACTGCACAAATGAAGGTTACAATAGTTGATCTGGGAAGAGAGAAAACCTCTTATAGGTTAATTCAGCTCATGACTTAATATGCCTTTTTTGCTATACCAAGAAAAAAAAAGTAAAAACTAGAGGGACAAATCATTTCTGAAGAAAAATACACTATTTGTATTACACCTTAAAAAGAATTTTAATGGAACACACTACTAATAAAACATCACAGTTTTTGCTTTTGTAATTTACACCAATGACATTAATTCTAATACTTTAGAGAACTCTTACACAGTATATAACAAGTTGTTTTAATTTTACCATCATCTGTAACTTCAAAGTTTGGCTTGAACTATTTCAAAGAAAACCATTTAAAGTTCAGTTCTCCACAAAATTGATCAATTTAAAAAGAAAAAAAAAAGCTTTGCCAATGGAAAGCTGGAGTGTATGTACCTTCCAGCCTCCAAAGACATAACATTAATTTAACCAGCACCTAGTAAAACCAAAGCCTCCTTCCAAAGGACAGACTGACTCTTCCTACTCATAGCATCAACATCTTCTTCTTCGGAACTGTTTTGCTATGGCATGTACACACACACACACACACACACACACACACACACACTTATCAATAAATTGACATGCTACATGAATATAGCCGTTTCTTTAATCAAAATGAAGCCAGCAGACTAGGGGAAGACATAAATTAGCACACTGAATGATTTACTTGAAAGTAAAATTTGTAAAAATGTCATCCATCCTGGTTTCATATTAATTTAAAAATCAAGATGAGTATCATTTCAGACTTATATACATCAAGATGCCAGTTCTTATAAAAATGCTTAGTTGTAAATGTTAAGATTATGCAAAAATAATTTCATATCAGTTTTAATTTAAATGAATTTCCCATAACTCTAATATTAAAAACATTAAAGGAACTTAAATTTTAATGGCAAGAGTTCCTATTTTCCCCATCTATTAAAATAAGGTTCTGTTTTCCCTTATTAACACACAATGCCCTATTATTAAGGCACAACTTTTTAAAAAGTGAAATCACAGATTAGGTTTATTTTATACACAGTTCTTGCTGTAGATTATAATTAAATATATCATAAACTCAATCTATAAAAGTGAATGTACTGAGAAGCAACTGATATTGAGCTACAATAGGCCAAGTGTAGCTAGAATCTTCCCAACAAACCTTGCTTTAACCAGTCAGGCTGTTTCAGGAAGGCAGTCTCCAAGGTGTTTACCAGGAAAGTTGAGTACTTTTTCTGGAGTGGCGCGGGACCCTACACTTAGGCCTGGCTATCAGAGACAGTTGTTGCCCTCAAAGTCTGAGTGAAACCCAATTTTTGAATTTAGCATGGGAGACAAGGGCAGATTCCAGGCACCAGGACAAAAGCTTGCCCTGCATATCCCCTCAGCTGCTCTCCCCATACCTCCACCTCCACCCTCCCTCCACCTTCCTTCCCACTGTCTTCTTACCCATGACCTCATTCTACATCCTCTGACACAATCTACAAAATGCTTAGAGAATATCCAGCAAACAGGAAGAATTTGTACAACTGTTACTTAGAACATAAAAATTATGTTGCTACTTCATTGTACATTATACATAATTTATCTCAATTTTACCAATTTAAAATTAAGAAATATTACAATTGGGGGAAAAGGACAATCACAAACCAAAGATAATTATGATCACCTAGTAGGATCTTGTAACCTCAACTGAAATGGGGGTTACAAGTATGAAAAGAACACAGAAAGCACGCTTACTTATTCAAAATTACATTTTCTATGTTTATATCCTCAAGATGGCTGGGAAGAAATGCTCTGTAAAGACTTTAGTACTGGATTAAACTTGTCAATATAAAGGTTTCTGTAATTAAAGGTCATTTTTCTGTCTTTCTATGGAGTTTGAAACATATGCACTTCCCTTCCTCATGGAAATTGCAGCACAGCCTCAGTTTTATAGTATGATTTCAACAAGCAATCTTGAGAAGTGGGTACATCAAAAAACTATGAGTGAGCTGAGCACTGGTGGCTCATGCCCGTAATCCTAGCTACTCAAGAGTAGGATTGTAGTTAGAAGTCATCCTGAACAGAGAAGTCCTTGAGACTCTATATCTGGCTAAAGCCACACTAGAGGTGTGGTTCAAGTAGTACAGTGCCAGCCAGCCAGCCAAGCAAGCAAGCCAAACAGGCACAAGGCCTTGAGTTCCAACTTGGGTACCAGCAACTCCCTCAAAATAAAAATTGGGGGAGGGGATAAAGTACTATCTGGTATACTGGTGAATAAGGAAAAGCAGAAATAAAGGAAAAGAATAGGCAAAGGAGGCATATACATGGTAGAGATGAAGAGGGAAAAGATGACAGAACACTAAATTACTGATTTCCCTGCTTCTATTAAATGTAATACATAAAACGCAGCTTTAAGGGAAAATTACCTTCCAAATAAGAGCAAAGATGAAGGAAAAGGAAGGCAGAAGCTGGGCAACGAATGTCACCAAAAGTAAGTTGGATTTATCTTGCTGTGTTTTAGAAATAGTTTTCTGCAATTCTAGAAGATATTACACTCTTGTGAAAGTGTTTTACAGGTAAGTGCTGGCACAATAATGTCTTATAAATAAGTATAAATACTGTTTCTTGTAATGTATCAATGGCTCTTAAAAATAAACAAAGATTTTAAAAATGAGCTTTCTATAAAAAGTACTTAAAATCTTAGTAACTAGACTATACCCCCCAAAATTATAAAAATAACGTATTCAACTCTTAGCCAATCTTAATTTTTACACACAGCACATTTCATAACTGTACATATCCTTGGCTATGCACATTACTGAATTAAAATTAAACTGGAGCAATCATGCTTGCTAATATGAACTACTTTTACTTCAATTAAATCACAAAGATTCTATGTAATATTTTTTAAACTACGGTTAAATTCCACTTCCTATTTGCCAGTTTTATTTCCTTAACTTTGACATACCACAATTAAAAAAAAAATAAATGCCAAAACTCTGAAAACAGCATTTGCCTTTGCCATTCCTAAAAAAAAAAATCCTGTCCTATTGTATCATGAAGTAAAAATTATGAACTGTCTGACATTTTTTTCAAAATTTTCAAGTCCAGTGTAAGTTATCAAATGTTCCACCCATTAAACTTGGAATTTTCACTGAACAAAGGCCTACCTAATATATTTGTTACTAGTGTAAGATATTGAGTGGAAACATTTGTAACATCTTAGATTGAGTTCTAATGAGGAACTAAGGACTTTAAACAACATGCAAACCTAAGTATGCACACTCTACCAGGCTAGGATGTACATTCTTTGGTCAATTTTACCTTCACCTGGGAAAATAGAAAGCAAGCTGATTTCAATTTTGTTTGAGTGGGAAAAAAAAGCAAGCATGACAAATCAGTGTTATGGCCTATAAGGCATTGAAGATATATGAAATAACAGTTTCAATTGTTTTCATTAGTTTTCTAGGTATCATAGTGAGAGAAGCATACTTTCAAATAAAAGCAAGTTCAAAAAGCAAATCTTCCAGTGTTTTTGCTAACCAACAGGAAAACTGAATAGGAAATTAAAAAAAAATTAATTTCATTTTACTAATTTGAAGGGAATCTACAGAGTATCTCAAAAGTCACTACTGTGAGAGTTCGGTTAGGCTAGGTACATCTATTAGCAGTACTTATTTATAGTGAAAGCAACCATGGCCAAAGCATTCTTGACAACGGCAGACTGTCTATATAATCCTGGAAAAGTTTCTAAAATTTTATATTAAAATAAAGTTCCTGCAAATGAATGAAAACTATGTCAATTCATGTAATGTCAAGTGATTTTTCAGTTATAACAGAATTATTTACTTTCTTGCAATGCCTTATGGGGTTAATTTTTTTCCTAAATGTAGTGTTAAATCTGAAATCTAAAACTCAAGACTAAATGCTGGTCAGGAGGAATGGAAGCATGCATCTTCCACAGAGAAATGCAAATCTACAATACGATGACAGAAATGTTGAACCCATAGGTAGAACAATTTCCTTTATCAGAACAGAATACACACACACACACACACAAACACCCATACACACATCAATTATAATGCAAGCCATCATGTGTATATTTTCTACTGGCTGGTGAACCTGTTAAAACTTCAGAGAAAAAAAATGTGGACTTTTCTATTTTAATCCATAGAAACAGTAGATGAATAGAGCACATGTTGCATATTAATGAATGTGAAGCTTCTTGTGCTTTCCATCAGAAGTAAAAATCCTCAGTTACTTTATTTTCAAGTTACATCAAACATCTACACAAAATCAATCCTTCCTTCAACCCAATTTGTATATGAAAATATTAACAAATAATGAAGATTCATGATGTGTGAAAATGGTGGCTCATAATGTAGACTCAGCTATAGATTTTAATTCACAAATATATATGCGCCTTGTGTATGACAACTGTACGAAAATAGTCTCAAAAATAAAGACAATACTTGAGACACGAAGCAACCCACTTTCCCTGACTTTGTATCCTATTATAGGGAAAATAAGTCTCTGATGCTTCATAAATACTTAAAAAAGTTCAGGATGGCCTTTAACCATGCATAGTCTCTACCAACCCTCTGACACTTTGAGCAGTTCAGGCTGACCATTTCAGCTCTGGGGATACTGCCCCCCTGTAGTTAGTTATACTTATTTATGTCCTGTCTTTTCTAGATCTGGGAGTTTTCGGACCAGAGCCTGATGGTTCATTCTGATGCTAGCGAGGAGGCCCCCTTCGATGCCGTCAGAGCCTATGTAACTGATTTCTTCACCATTCAATGTAGTCATATGCCCCCCAAGGGCTTTTAAGATGGCATTGCCAGCACATATATCCCACTTTTTGATGTATGTCACATGGATATATAGGTCAGCTTTTTCTTGACTTTTATCAGGCACATCCAAGAGTGCTAAAACTTTATAACCTAAAAAGATAGAACAGAATTTAAGTGGTTACTCAAAAGATACAAAGGAAGGAGCACATATTTTTCATTTAGTACACTATTGAAAAGGACAGGAAATGTAGAGTCTAAAATTATGTCTAAATAAAAATATTTTTACATGTTAAGAGAACAGAAATAAACTCAATGGAGCAAGCTCATTAAACTAGTCTGCAGTGTAACTAAATATCTATGGTTTCTAAATTTTAAACCTTTGTGGTTCTTTATGGAAGGACAAATATCATACGTGCTATTTTCTCTGAAATGACATATTACATTAAAGGTAAACACCTATTACTTAAAACACCTGAGTAGACCTGACAAAAAAGAGACCAAGAACTGACATTACCACTTTTAAGTCCTTTCTATAATAAGGGAGTACTTAGGTAATGAAAGTTCAGATGAAACTGGGTCTAAAATCTAGTTTATTTTATTCTTACTGGGTATTCTGGATGCAGATAATGAAAAGTTAGTAAGCATCACTTCTTCTTGATTATTGTGCTATAAAGATATTCCAACACAATGTTTTCTGACCAATAATGTGTTATTTACCTGTATTAATTAAGCTAACAGTTAACTTCACCACATAAAGAGCAGTCATGATCAAAGCCATCAAATTGCCCCTCGAGCCAAATCTACATTATGGTCTGTTTTTGTACATATCTCACTATGTATTTTTTTAATATTTTGATAAGGTTTAATATTTTGAAAAGGCTTCAAAAAATCAATTAAAAATACCCAAGAGACTATATATGGCAGAGGCTGACCTCTGATCTATCATCAAGAAATACAAGAATATTGTAGACTGAGTGAACTGCCAAATACTTGACTCTTTCTCATCCTACAGGTTCAAAGACTGAAGACATTAGGGCTCTCAGAAGTGAGTCAGAGCCGGGCGCCAGTGGCTCACGCCTGTAATCTTAGCTACTCAGGAGTCTGAGATCTGAGGATCGCGGTTCAAGTCAGCTCAGGCAGGAAAGTCCATGAGATGCTTATTTCCCATGAACCACTAGAAAACCAGAAGTGGCGCTGTGGCTCAAGCGGTAAAGCGCTCGCCTTGAGATGAAGAGCACAGGGACAGTGCCCAAGCCCAGAGTTCAAGCCCCACAACCTACAAAAAAAAAGAAAAAAAAAAGAAGCAGGCTGGGAAGGTGGCTCAGTGGTAGAGCACTTG